TACTCTGTAATCCAACTCTGCCAGTATATTAACAAACTCTGGCTGCAATAACAGACGGACTATCATAGGGCAGGACTTTATTTGAGGCACAACTTTAGTGTTTTAGCTTGGACAAGCGAGATTAGTAGGGACGAGAGATTAAATCTTCAGTGAACCCACATTGTCGCCATAGCCATCTGGCCACCATTCAACCTTCAATTTAACCTTGGCGTCGCCATCCAAAACCCGAAGAAACAATTACCGTTTTCTGTTGATCTATCAACCCCCTATCTCATAGTATTCGGCTGTAGGTGTAAAGCACCCTAAGAGGTTCGGCGTACTATCCCTCAAAGCCCCGCAGAGGGAGGTGTTTAGACGCCGCGTGCTCCATACCAGAGATAAACATCACATCCTCCGCTTGGTGCGCGCCTGTGAAAACAGATGCTAATGGACTAGTAAAAGAAGTTGGTCCTCATGGAGGCCAATACGGAGATTATTCGAACGGAAGGCCGTGACTCGGCTCACTATCAATCCCAAGTATTGCATTGTTTCTCTATCGCATTTCTGGATCGGCAAATCTCCGCGTAGGAGGACCTTTTTGAATTTGGACGGCTGGTTGTGGATGCGACGATGCATAGGTTTCTCAGGACAGGAACAAGGATGGTGATTCTGCCATGGAGGGCGCGTGTCAAATTCGAGCTGTAGCAGCAAGAGACTTTTGTCAATAAGGACATTATAAGGTACCACACATAATATACACCAGCTTGAGAATACGTTGCGAAATAGTTCCCGGTAGCAAAAGCAAGAGAGAGGTAGGTAGGTTTTCAAACAAGGTCCGTCATGTCCTAAAGTAGTAATGCAGCGAAGGTACTTCATACTTCGAAGTTTTCCGTGGCGTCATGGGTGAGAGTCTGAGCCACTGGTGCATTGCGAGTAAAACGAGAGAATTGGTGATTGGGATGCTTTAAACCTAATATGGAGTTCCGTTTAAAAGTCGTAGTTAATCTGTTTGTGGAAGGTTTCCTAATATTGACGAATGTGGATAGTGAAAGGGCATTGAAAGGTCGCTTCTCTCGAGCTATATGACCGTTAGCAGGGCAAAATGGCTGGAAACAATAGGCGACTTGCATTCTGAAACGATCTCGATACTATTCAAGCTGACGCTGTCATACCGTAGCAAAGGCCGTCGGCCCGGTGTAGTTGGCGGGCGTGCATTGAGAGTTGCCATTAGACTATTTGCATACCTGTTGTAACAACATATACCGAATCTGAAAAGGAAGAGCAGAGGTGAAATTCTTACAGTTTTGGTAACATGAAGAACCTGATGCATCAAAACAATATCAAGTCTCAGTTTGGACTCGGATAGATGGCCTGCAACTCACAGAATAAGCGGAAGCAGTGTCTCTCTCAAAGTGATGAACACAAACAACTCAATGGTTGCGCCGATAGCGGTAATCATCCCTGTGTCAATTGCGAGACCAATGACCTTCTCAATTCTTGCCAGTAGTCGATTTGAGTCCAGCGTAGCTGGCGCTCTCTCAAAGCGGTCGGTCGTTCGTCTTAGCTGCAAGAAAGTTACCGTCATCAGTTAAATTAAGCAGCAACTTGATCGTATGATAAACAAACCAGAAGAAGAAGAGTCGTTGCAATGATAATGTCACAAATAGCTGTCCCAGTTAACCACACCTGCACATACGTGAGCATTTATTAGAACAAAAAGATTCTCAGCGGAACTTACCGCATTGATAGCAAGGACGGTGGAACTCTCCGAGCCAGATGCACTCAAGACAATTGCGAGTCCCAGAAACCCATCATCACCCTTGTCTTGAAAGGCCTAGGTAGTAAGTCGAGATGATTGGCTTTAGTCGAGGTCTTTAAACAAGCACAAGAACATAAACATACTCCGAAACCAGACAGTGAAACCATTATACACTGCAGAGCTGATAGACCGAGAATGATGATAACTATCACTCGGTGGCCACCAAGAAAATGGATTCGCCAGGAGTAACATGCATGAACCATTGTAGAAACTATAGAGTATAAGAACAAGACATGGAATAATTATGCGGAATAATTATGCACATACCTAAACCGGCCAAGAGACCCATAACTCTAAACCCCACATACGTGATTTCAAATGACATGCCTCCTACCACGATTATACTATAGAGAACATACGTAGTGGCGAGTATAGTTGATAAGATTTCTACTAAGAGACAAGAAAACACTAGAAATAGCTGAGTCTTAAGACTCCCGCAGAAAAACGAAAGCTTCAAAACTGGCCTGTGATCTTTATGTAGCGAGGATCTGTGTCGCGAAATGAGATGTAGTACAACCCTATACAAATTTATCATTTTATGATTTCATCAGGCGTATCAAAGACATACAAACTTGAACGAACAGTACGCCCTGTAGGAAATAGTTCATCCCAAACCCGAGAAACTGAACACATCATCAGCAATTTACGACGACATCTTTAGCTGCCCACTCACTACAGGAACGTCTCTGCATGAACTCGAGAAATTAGCATTTCCGGACAAACGAAAGGATGTAAAGGGACACCGAGACTGACGTCAAAGCAGAGAATTCACCTGGAGAATGTAGATTAAGGAGCGTCTGTATCATCGTAGGCTTAAGGAAAGCGAAAACAGAGGACGAGATGTGTTGGCCTATACGAGATACAAGAGTGGAGGGTAAGATGAAGAGATGAGCGTGCACTAAGCACTTACGAATGAAACGCAGCCAGAAGAAAGATGGCCCGTGTCTTCACAAAATTATGAGATGACAAGGAGGATTTAAAGACGTCGGATCTCTTTCGCTTTATATATAGGCTCAGTGCAAGGATGGTTACCCGGCTGAGACGGTTGGAGGAACTAAGGTATCAATGTTTCATCTCCGATATTTCTCATTTACAGCAGTCCTGGAGAGGATAGAGTGAAGAGGAGGATGGTTTTGATCGTAGTAGATCTCAAACTATCAAGATGAGAGATGAGATGTAAGCTCAGAAGAGATTGATGAATTACGAAGAGACCAATCTGTGGAGGCAATGAACGAGATACTAGATTGAGAGTTTGATGAATACGTTACCAACTAGTTCTCGGTGCTTATTAAATGCACTGTTTGGCGAACTACTGATTCGACGATAACTGACTCGGTCAGTGTTCATAGACATCTCCAAACATGATATTGGACTGATCGCATCGAAGGGATCCAAAGAAGCTTCTCCTTTCCAAACGGTTTCTGCGACCTCGTCCGAGTGTCCCGAAACCCAGCTGATACTTCTAGGAAATTTGAACCGATGTGGTAGTATACACTGTTGTATCAAGATTGCGTTTTTGTTGATCGCGTTTGTAGATAAAGACCAGCTCCTTTCTTTCTTTCTTTCTTTCTTTCTTCCAGCGACGCGAAAACGTATAACCTTCGCAGATTAACGATCAGCTGTATGCACCTCGATGGAAACCACCAAAATAGCGGAGAAGAAAAGGCTCGGGCGTATTCTTGAAGAGGATATCAAATGGATCAAAATTTACTTGATTTTGAATCTTCGGTTAGCGCTCTTTCACGAACAAGCTTACTCTCGCTACGTTTTGTCTGCTCGGTATGTTCGATGGTGATATTCTAGCTTCTCAATTATGTTTCGCGACGTATAACCCGCTCTGCCTCTAGTGGATTCCGTTTTATCTTGTCCCATACTTCTTTGACTGATTTAAAGCTGACCAGGTCAAAGAATTCAGGCTGCATACAATGCCCTGGGCTACTGTGTTGGACGTAGCAATGGGGAACACTGAGTTCTGAACGCAACGCGACTTTGAGTGTATACCGGGCTCCTCACCTGCGACAGAACTTGTTTACCTCGGGTATAAAGGCTTGCATATCGTAGCGACACGGCTGCGAGAGAGCTGGACCGCATAGTAACAAAACGAGGAGCGATAGTGCTAAGATCAGAGACAGAGTGAGCGCGTATCCAGAAATTCCATCGCATAAATTACATATTGTACAGTCGTTGCTTACCAGCCAGCGCCAACAGACGGACTGGTGGGTGCAGGACTAGGTATACTTTGAGGCATAACTCCCGGAGTCATTGGTGTTTTAGCTGGATAAGGGAAAGTTAGAGACGAGGAATTAAATCTTCAGTAAAACTCACCTCCTACGCGTTCATCGCCGCCATAGCCATCCGGTTTCCTCCATTCAACCTTCTCAACCTTGACATCGCCATCCAAGAACTGATAGACATAAGTAACGATTACCGTTCCCTGAATATCCATCAATGCAAAGCTAGGTGTAGGATCGCCATTCGGACTAGTCATTTTGATTCCTTCCACTATACCCTCCGCAGTCTTTTCGCCATTCGCCCCGTTTGTATTTGTAGACGGCGAATACGACGCAGCACCATTGCTAAACCCATTGAAACCCGGTTTGGCACCGTTCCAAGCGCCAGTCCAAGCGCCAGTTGCTGTCCCGGGGTTCAAGAAAAATCTTCCGTCATATTCGACTGCTTGGACAGCGTGTGTTCCTCCAGAAATGAGAACATCTACATCCATTTGGCGTGCAATGGCGGAAAGAGAATCTAGCGAGCCTAGTGGAAGCGATTGGTGCCCGTGGATGAGACCAATACGAAGATTATTAGAATGAGTTACTGTTAATGATGATGGATGGTCAGGAAGCTGTAGATTAAAGTTGGCATAAGTTTGACGATTGGGTGAGAAATATACCTCGTCGTAATCCCCTCGAACAATCTTGACCTCGGCTCCAGCTCCGCCGACTATCGACCGGAGATATTCCATTGTTTCTCTATCACAGACATTTCCAGTACATAAGACTTGGGCGATTTTCCCGGGCGCGAGAAGCTTTTTGAATTTGTGCGGTAGGTCATGGATTCGGTGAGGGATGTGTAGGTCTCCGAGAACAAGGACAAGGACCATGGTAAGTAGTAACGATTAAGAGATGAGGTCACGCGTTATGATTTACATAAACTGCAGCAAAAAAAGGATTATGACTACCTTTAGAACATATTTAATAAGTCCGGTGTGGTGTAGTGGTTAACATCGCTGTCTTTCATTACGTTTGATTTGCACAGTAGCCCGGGGTTCGATTCCCCGCTCCGGAATGTGGTTTGCATAGCTGCTTTTTTTTTTTTCCTTATTCTGTTATTTTATTTTATTTTATTTTATTTTACTTGTTTATTCTGTTCAGGCTGAACGAATCCGAGGATGTAACTGCACCTTTTTCAATCCATGGGAAACAACGTACTTCTTCGAGTCAACAATCAAGTTTATGATAGAAACACTCAATACGATTTTTTTCCTATCATTAGCCTATCAGCTTTCTTTGGCCGCAGTACGTGGCCGCACAACAGGTTCAAGGCCACGGACGGAAGACCTTGAGCCAATCCTTTTCCGTCAGTATGTTTCTACGATGTATTCTATTTCCCACGCCACGTCCCTGGTTTGGGAAAATCGTGCTCTATATGGAGAATGGAATAGCTAACGAATTAGCATGTGTATGAATATTTGTCTAATCCGGGTAGTGAATATGAGGCTTACCAGTCTTATAGAATACCCGTGGCGATTCGTTCTCAGCTTTGCTCTGTCACCCAGACCGCCCCAAGGCTCGTCCTTAGTAACGCTCCTGCACGCTGCATAGCGCAAGATGTCAGATAACGATAACGAGAAACACTCTAGTGATCTGAGAGCGGGAGACGGAGCCGAGACGTCTAGCGGTCAAGATGAAAAAGACCAGGAGATCAACTTGGCGACATTTCACGAGCAGCGAGCAGGACGATTGGTTCTGGATCCAGAGTACGATTTTTATTTATCTCTACAAGCTATAGCTCAACCAATCCTGCTCTCCTCCTTCCTACTCACAGGGAAGCCCTCGCAGAATTTGGTCCCACTATCGCGTCCAAACTCAAGCTATCTGCCGACGGAACAAAAGTTCTCTGGCCGCAACCCACTGACTCACCGTATGACCCACAGAACTGGAGTAACAGGAAGAAACACCTGCATTTGTTCATTATCACCCTTGCTGCAATCGTCCCAGATTTTGATTCTGGGATAGGTGAATACAGTACCCTAACCTTTGGGAGTATGTGCTGATGTCCGTCCATCAGGTATCGCCGCTATCTTCCGACTGGCGACCCAATTCAATACGACGACGACGGAAATTAATGACATGACGTCCAAGTAAGTGGACGCGTCTTGCGCGTGTTTTTGCGTTCGTGGTGAAAATCTGACTCCTTCCTTTCTGTCTTATTCAGTTGGAGCATCTTCCTACTAGGATGGGGTGGCCTATTCGCAGTACGATTCACTCACCACGCTTCACTGGAAATTGCTTTTTAATGACAAAAATAGGTCATGCTCATCCGCCGGTACGGTCGTCTTCCGATTTTGTTTTGGTCTCAGGTGTGTCGTCCCTACTGTAGATTCTACTAGTTTCTAACGATCGAACTATCCTCTCACAGATATGTGCCCTCGGCTTCGTCATTGGGTGCACATTTGCCCCTGATTTGAAGACGTTCACAGCTATGCGATGTTTGAACGGGTTTTTTGGGTACGCACCTCTTCCAATCTAGCAGCTTTTTTCACATCTTCATTCTGATTTGACTACGAACCTCGAAATAGAACCGCACCGCAGGTTACTGTAAGTATATGTCAAGATAGCTTTGCATCGTAATAACAGTTTTCCTATAGGGTCTTTATGTTGTAACAGACCTCTTTCCATTCCATCTTCAGGCTCGAAAGGTTTGCTACGTTTATACCCATTTAATCACTGACTCATCCCTCTCCTTCGTTTCCTAGCTAAACATCTGGACCATGGGTTTCATCATCAGTCCCTTCGTCTCCCCCTTTGCCTTTGGCTTCCTCGTGGCTCGCGCTAACTGGAGATGGGCCTACGGCATCGGTGCCATCTATGGTGCCATCGTTTGTCTAATGATTGTCTTGTTCATGGATGAAACGTACGTCCTCGTCTTGTTCAACATCAACTCCCTCCTGTATTTTCTATACATCATAGCATGTATGACCGCGGTGTCTTTCCCATCCCCGAACCGGCTGCGGAAGCATCTAAAGGAGGTATCAGCTATGTCCGCTACCGCATTGAGACTCTGGTCGGCATCACAGGTTACAAAATGGCAAAATACCGTCTCTCTTGGACCGAGGCGATTCTTTCGCCATTGAAAGTCGTATGGCGTCCACATTTGTTGATTATTTTGATTTTCGAGGTTGGCTTTGGTGTCTGCTTTGCATACAGTATGCTCATTGATCCTGCACATACCTTGCGTCTCTATGTAGGCCATGGTATTTGGATTCAGTATTGGTATCAACGTCACAAACGCTGTGTTTTTGGGCACGCCCCCTCCGGCTGGGTTTGGGTTCAGTCAATTTGGTATTGCAGGTGGATACGGGACGCCTATTGTATGTCTTTTTTATTTATTTTTTATTTACCCATTTGTACATGCTACGCTTGAAACAAGCACAAAACGCCTTCCCGGCATTACCGACTGCCTGACCTTGCTGACTTCTCAAATAGGTGGCAGTACTCATCGGTGAACTCATTGGCCGATTCAACAACGACTTTATCATGAATCTCAGTATCAAGAGGAATAATGGTGTGTTTGAAGCTGAGAATCGGTTGTGGTGGGCTTTCCTTGGTTCCTTTGTCGCCTTACCTCGGTACTGATCCTTTTTCTTCATATTATAGGGCCTGCTACCTGGCTATGCCACTTTATATATGTGGATTCGTCCTTCTCGGTGCCTCTCTCCAGAATCATCTCAGCGTCGGTGCGCTCATCATGGGCTGGGGTATCGCTGAACTTGCGGTTATGATCAATACCGTTGCAGTATGTGCGTACCTATTCTCCTGTTCCAAATTTCAACACTTTCTTCATACTGACTGTGGGCTTGCCTTGCTGCCTGCTATAGATGCGTATTGTAATGATTGTTTCCCAAGACATCAGGCAAGTTGCAAGTGTATTATCTTTCTATGACCTTCGCCGATGGAATTGTTTCATAGGGAGAGATTAGTGCATGTATTAATCTTGCGAGGACTCTCGGAGGTAAGAGCACGATGTTCAAGTTCTCCGAATATGAGATGTCTCTAATCTGTGTACCCTAGGCTTCAGTGTTGCGTTCTTCCAGGTCCCTTGGGCCCTGAAGCACGGAGCGTTGCAGGTGTTCGGTGTGGAAGCAGCGTAAGTGCAACTCAGGCATCCCACCTTCTCGTTTCACCGCCCTATACATCCCTCTCTGGTCAATACTTATTTTTACTCTAGGATTGTCGTCGGCCTATTCTTCCTATCTGTACCCTTGATCCAGATAAAAGGAAGATCATTCCGGGTATGTTTCTTCCTGTTCATCCAAAACTGTTTTCTCGGTTTCTCTCTTTTCAACTGTGTGTTTCCAGAACTGACTGGTATCTTACAGGAGAAGTATTCGATGTGAGTGTATGGAATCCCAGATATTTTGAAAGGATCGAGATACACGTTGTATTCTCGTTAACCGGTGTGGCAGCTCTGACTAGTGACCGAGGAATTTTCCACTATGCACCTATTCAACTAGTTAGTAAAACAAGAGAAAAAACCGACAGTATTTCTAGTGAAGTCATTGTAATCTCTCCAAACGCGAACAACTTTTTGCCATATCCAATACTTATCCAATTTGGGTCCAGTGCGAATGAAAACTTGAGTTCTAAAATAGGTAACTATGATTTTCTTAAAAACAACCCAAATTCTAATTCGGCATGCCTCTTGGGCTCGTGTCGCTTAACGTTCGATCTTGTCTGATCAGGAATTTATCGAATCTGATTATCACTCTGAACCAGCCAATGTATATGTTACTGCTGGTCCAGAAAGCGTAAGCGCTAATATATCTCCTTCGCCATGAAAATTCTCGACGCATTCCCCACCGTCGGAAGAAGTGAAATGACATTCGCCTTCGTCCCCTTCAAGGCCTTGGGGACCTGTGGAGATAACAGAGACGGTGAATCCTGAGGCAGAAGCCACGAGTGTACCTAGATGAATCAGTTCCAGTGTTAGTACTGCGAGAGGGAAAGCCAAATATGTCCCACCAGTAGCTGTCACAACGGTTGTAGTATCTGCCATGTCCCCGATCTCAACAGTAGTTACGATTTCATTGAAGAGGTACGTCGTTTCTTCTCCCCCGCTAGCAGTTCCTATCGGAGAAGCCCACTGGGTGACCGCGAGATCTAAAGGTTCGGGTACTTCACCGCTGGGGCCGAAAGCAACGTAGGTTAACTGAGGTTTGGGAGAGGCAGAGGCGCCTGTATTTAAATGTCTAAGCCATCGGATGCATTGGACTTGGAGGTGACCCACCATGAAGAAACAGAGTTATCAAGGTGGCGAAGGAAAGCTGAACCCTCATGACGAATGAAGTGGAGGAGTCGAAGAGACTGTACTACTTATAACCTTAAGAGAGTGGCATCTACGGATCAGAGTATTGAACCCCATTCTAATGTAAGCCATACATTGATGAACATCTACAAAGTGGAAAGGGAAAGGCGGTACACAATGCCGCGTCCAAGCTGTAAATAGCGAAAGTATTCCATGGGAAGGGACTGCCGCAATCCACTTGGAGTTATACATACATAGCGCGGGTTTCATGGTCATAAACAACTGGAAACGAAGCTCCCACTCCAACGGTTAAAACTACTTGTAACAGGGCCTAAGTAAGCATGCAATTATCTCAATAGCTGATGGATCGGAACACCTGGAGTCTGATCCTGCTCTATCAACCGGGCGTTGTTTCTGTCACTTTTTGACGCTTTCTGACGAGGGATTAGAAGTTGTAGCGGGACACGGGTGTAGCACTGATACAGCGGCTGCACCTGGCTGAGCTCGGTCCATACCATGGACAGTCAAGTCTTCGGCGCTAAAATCGAAACCGGCGCTTGTGAATCATGCACCCAACCACCACATCTCCCTCAAAGGTCCAGATCTTTCCCACTTATTGAACCAACAGTTGATAACCGTGTTTGCGTCTGCTTTATTTGCAGGCAATACATGGCAACCGACCTAACGACGCGAAATTAATGCACCGGCTGGGAACAACAGCGTCATTGTCTTCACGAGAACACAATATGCACAATCTTATA